CTTGTCGAGATCGTGCTGCGGCCAAAAGTCCAATTCGAATCGATTGGTTCCGCAGTAAAAGTAAAACATCCGGCCGGGGCTTGAGCATTTATTCAAAGACCAGCCTGCGAGGGCAAATTATGGGTGGTGGGATGCAAAAGAGTATGGGGTAATTCTGTAAAAAAATTAAAACAAAAGAAAAGCTTCCGGAATAAGATCTCTGTTAGGTTACGAGCATACGGCTGAGGAAGCGTGAAGACGCTTTGCAAAAGAGAAGCAGGCAGCTAATTGGCGAGGTAATTCATAGGCGTGCTGAACCTACCGCCAGACACCGATTGCGCGGTGGAATAAAAGAGGAGGCGAAATCATCCCGGGTGGAACCGAACAATGGTTGCAGGTCTCTGACTCTCTTATCGAGCATCCTCAAATCGCGGCAGTGGTACATCTTCCCCGATTGCGACTACCTTGCACAAGGAAGGGAGCCTACACACCATAGAATCGTAAACCGTGTCTTTAAGTACCTGTTCCAAACTAGTATAAGCATGAACACTGCGATTCGTTGGTTTGCGGTCCTTGACGAGAGGGTGAACCTATGCGGCATTGGACCCTACGGGTCTCGACAAAGGAGATCCCGTCGCAGCAATACAGCACTGCAAGTAATGTCATGGACGCCGCATTCACACCAAGGCCTAAGACTTGCCGTAGCGGAATCAGTGCAGCGTGTCGAGCTGACAAATATTCTGCTGACTTCTATGCTTCGTCGCAATGTGGACCTTCTACCCCACGGCCACATAAGACTCTTTACGTCACGCCTATTGTCTACCTTTGCCGTTTTCACTTACTATTGAGTCCTAGCACGAAAACTTGTGAATCTTCTTGATGATCTTTTTATGGTATTCTTTCCCTGTTCCACACGATCAAGGCTCCGAGGCGTCGGGCAAGGGTGCGCAGCATGAGTACCGTCAACGTGATAGAAACATCCAAGAATAAGTTTGTATTCATTTTCGATATGCTGCCTAATGCCGCAGATTGCGCTCCGAAAACTGTAATTAGAATGCTGGGCTACGAGCCAGTCCTAGCCCCAGGCGGGGCTCGTTTTCCGTTTTCCGCTCACCGATCGGGTGCGCTATCCGTAAAAGTGGGAATGATGTAAGGATGTGGCACAGAAGCCATCAAAGACAAACTGTACACTCACAACCCTGGATTCTGGTTCTTGCCATATGTGGGGAGGATGGGGCAGCAGCTGCACTAGCATGTCACTTAAAAGTGCAGCGCTGGAACACGGCTGGAGGGTTTTGGTGCCCATATTCTTCATATTCCGCCCGCGCAACCGTACGGCCAGCCACACGCGTGACCGTAGCCAAGCACGTTACCTTGTCTGAACTCCCTCACTTCCGGTTGTTCTGTACGGCTTAATGCGTGTTTCTCAACTGTGGAGTGCTGCACCTCGAGGATAGTGCGGGCGGAGTATGGAGACGGCACCGAGTCTCACTGCTCTCCATTCCAGGTCCCGCGCATTTTTGTGCGGAGAAAGTGGCACCCATTGCAGCTGTCACTAGTTCATCTCGAGCATGGGTACGACCCTCCTTGGAGAACAGTGCACAGTGTCTTCAAGCTAGGGTGAGAGACTGCTGTTTCATATAGGATAGCGCACTCGCTCGGTGAGCGTGAAGTGCGGGTTCAAGCCCACCTGAGCTAAAGCTTTTGCCCACAACTCACCATTCTCGCGCATAGATGGGAATTTCGCGCTTTGCTCTTACTGCTTTTCGGTAATCGAAGGGTTAATTGAAAAGATGCATAGGGACTGCAAAAATCAAATGGGGTCTTGTTTGCTTCTCACTCTAGCAAATTCAGTCGCACTTGATTGATAAAAAATTGTGGTATCGATATTCATGCGATATCTAAAACCGCTATATTTATTGAAAGCGCTCTGAATTCAGACCTAGACGATAAGGACTTACAAAGCAACTCACAGTACACCTTTTTCAGTTAACACTCAACATGGACAAGATTCTACCAGTTCTGTACAGCTGCGCATCACCGACGAG